CCCCAAAACCCCAAAACCCCAAAACCCCAAAACCCCTAAAGATCACTAAAATATTGAAAATTTTATAAAATTAATATCAACAGGAATGGTAAGTTTAGCTTTGATCAATCCAAGTTTAGAGTAGTGTTCCTAAATAGTACCCAAAATGTCTAGTAGACATTAAAAAATTCACGATTAGTTAAAATAAGCTTTGGGCTTACTTTAAAATCCCTATAGAAATCTTTTACAATCTGTATCTATAGAGTATTGAAAATGAGACAAGAAACCTGAAGAAAAGCAGAAGGTAACTTCGATGCTAGATTTCTAGAATTTTCACTCCAACTAATTGTATTGCTGAAAATTTTAGCAATACCAAATATGTGCCAGTTTTAAGTTCTCCCTCTGCAATGAATAGTCAAGGTATTAGACCACGGTCCAAAGTAGTCTATCGTAATAGACCAAAGGTATGTTACCCATAATCTTTAGAATGAGTCGATTACTAAGCACACAAATTTCATTAATTCACCGACTGAGAAATAAGAAAGTAGTCAGACTTTTGACCAACTACGATAACAAAAAGGTCAAAGGGCATAAATAAAAGTAATTTATTGTGACTTATCTCTCAGGGAGTAAAATTAGCCAGAATTTGAGCCCGGCTCAGAAAGATCATAGCTTAACTCTAAAATCAGCTCAGAGAGAAGGTATCTTAATATGCTTATTTCAGCACCTTCAAAGAAATTGGTTGGCCAAATAATATCTCCCAAACCTAGAATTAACTATTGGACTACAAGCGCAAATTACTGGAAATAAGCTTGACTCACGAAGAAGTAAATAAAATGAAGAAGCCTAAATTACGCACTCAGAAGTTGTGTTCGTTCTTATGTGACTGTCTAGCATCCGAAATTGAAGAGATTGTCAAAGGAAAAGATCTCAATATTGCCCTTCAGGGTCAAAACTGTAAAAGATTTAACTTCACAACCTCTATATTCCCAAAGAGCTACAGGACACCTAGTGAGACCTAAATAAATTAAGAGCTTGGAAGCATAATGGGGTTAAGGAAACATCCCGGAGCGTAGCTAGAACTGCTACAAACACTGTTAATTTAAACAAAATACAAAGTTCTCAGACGCTGTAAGCTAGTTGTCTATCTGTAGGGAATTCTCTTCTCCGTTGCCTGTTTCAGGATGTCAAGTTGTCAAGACGTCTGATCTCAAGCAGTCTACTCAAAAGAAGAACATAAAGATCTTATTTTCAAAATAAAGGCAATTTTAATATTGATCTAGTGGAAAAGTTAAAAACTCGTAATTCAACAGAGAGAAAGAAGAGGAGAATTAGCAAGATTCAAGCACCAGATTCCAAGTTACAGAATGAATACCTCAAGAAGTTATAGGGGGTCTCTGAGGTGGGTCTCTAATGCTTGCTAAAATGACACTTTAAGCTTTGTATTTAAGCCTTCACAGACTAATTCAGCACTCAACTTTTGGAGCATAACAGTTTGGAATTCAATACTCATTTTAATTAGGCATGTCAAAGAATAGTCTGGCTCGGAACTGGGCTGGCTTCGAAACTTTAAGCCACAGAAAGAAATTTGGTAATGTAAGATTTTTCATATTGATCTACCTTTAAATTTGAAGAGTCTTTGTAAAGTTTCGAGTTTAAACCAAAGCTATTTTTGCACATTTCAGAAAAGAAATTGTAAAATAGAAAGTTTAAACAGATTTAAAATTCATAAACTCATCAAAAAAATTAGCTCTTCGTTTAAAATGTATTTATACACACTAAAGACCGCCTGAATCCCCTACAAGACACTTCCGCAGTGGAATCAGATTGAGAATTCATGCTCAACCCTGAGCTCTCATGAAGAAATACCGAAGAAATCTCTAAATCCTATTTATAAATAATGTAATCTTCCCTGTATTCCTGCCTTGAAGCCTATCACACAGTCGTATCTCTAACTAAAACAAGAGCATCTACTAATTTTCAGCTGAAATCTGTCTGAAAATAATACAGAACTTAGCATAAATCTCTTAGAGTAGTTTATAAGCCATAAAAATGCCCTATCTGGCCAATACCCATAATTACTCAAGCTGGGTCACTAATTCTCTGAGAAGTTTCTATAAGCAGTGACTTCTGGAGCTGAAATTATGTAATAGTCGTAATTTTGTTAGGAAAACATTGTGGAACATCACATGGGCTTCTTATGGTAGTGAAGAATTAGCAGAAATGGCTACATCTTGCATAGAATTCATGGGAATAATATGTGGTTAAAATAGAACCAAGCCTGCACTTAGAGCTCTTGTTTAAACACAGGTTTAAAGATATAGGAATTATTGGATTTTAAAACACAAGTGAAAAGATTATAAATATAAATGCTCTCAAGAAGATTTAACCTTTTTATTAGTTATTTAGGTATTGAAGTGAATTCTAACAGTTCTTTTACATGAGAGATAGGGATTAAAAGTATTATTGATTGGTACTAGAGCATGATGAGCTTATGGTTAAAGGATCTGTATGTCAGGCTCACGTATGTATCTTCTGAAAAATTATCACAAATTTATTGTAAGATTCAATCAATTTTGTCAAATTTGGGGTTTTGGGGTTTTGGGGTTTTGGGGTTTTGGGGTTTTGGGG